AAGTTTTAAGATTATCATGCCAAATTGAGCGATATTCTAATAATTTCGAAGAGCGCCATTTCCTTTCCGAATTTAGGCTTCTTCTGTTAAAGAGCTGCAGATTTCTAAGTTAGGTTTTTTGTATCAGTACTGAAACTAGGCAGATATCCCATAAACACTAATATTGAAAAATCTCAAATGATACCAACTTATCACTCAACTTTTAAACTTTTTAGCTACAGTAACCCTTTTGATTAATTGATATTAAAGTCAAAAATTAGTCTCAAAAGATTAGATTATTTCAGTTTATATTGTGTACATATTCCTAAATAAAAGTTGTGTTTAATCAAATGACCACAAACTAACTGACAGAAAACCTGCAACCAGTTCTATTCTAGCACAATAGTCCTGGTTTGTCGCGATACCAGATGATTCGAGATCTCATCACCTACCAATCGTCTGGGGGTTTCTAAATGCAAAGTCATTTTATTTTATTATAATATGGGAGGATTTGTTAGTTCAGAATGAATATTACAACATAAACACATTAACTCAGTCATGTAGATGTCCCAGTCTCAATAATTAAAAACAAATGTATATCAGATAATACACAATATTGTTTGCTAGTTGTTTTTTAAATTAGGTAACTAAAATGTTTTTTCAAACCTAGTTTTAGCTTTTAGTTTAGTTGTAGATAAGCATGCCTTACAGACACACACAAATATGTATACACACACAAGTGTAACCTTTTCTTCATCCACATCCACCCAGTTTGTGATATGGGAGCAGCACTAAATCACTGTTCTCCATCAACCTCATTAAATTAAATATGTATTCCAGTGTTTATCTCAAGTGAGCTCATCTGCCTGTCTTAATAGGGGGTTAATTCATTACAGAGGCAGCTCCCAGGAGGATGAGTGAAACGCCCTCCTTTAAATCTGTTTTATTGCACTTATACATGATGTCATTAACTTTGCAATGGAGCTTGTTTGGTTACATGATGTTCTGTCCAATGACCCAAACTAAACAGATGCATACATCAACTCTGTGACGAGGTAGCAAATCAACAATAAAAACAGTTTAACAAGTGAGGATGCAGAAAGGATTTTATTTTTATTGAAACCACACAATAATACATCAGCGGTAAAGAGTTTACAAAAACAACTCTCACTCAGTGTCACCCACCGACCTGCAGCAGGACACATGCTCTGGATTTTGGATTCTAGTCTTGTGTGCAAAAAGGTAGAAAGGTGTTTCACACAAATACTTTTTACAGGCAGAAATACTGCAGCTGGTTGGGATAAGCTGAGTGCGTGGAGCCAAAGAAGCAGTGTGTACAGTTAGTTTACAAGTCAGAAAACTGGTCAAGTGCAAAGACGGAAAAGCGGTCTGCAAGGACTTCCTTTTCTATTTTATGAGCATTTGTAGTTTTAACAATATGTCTGTGGCTAGTGAGGCATTTCTTCAGTTAGTTTCTAGAGAAGGAAACTTTTCACCTGATTCTAGTGTAATGTTACGTAGCTAGAAACATGACTACTCTGAGGCTGTACTTAAATGCTCACAAGGGTGATGTGGGATATGGTGATAACAGGCATGTTTACCATGTTCATTGGTTTAGCTTGTCAGCAGGCTAACATTTGCTAATTAGCACTAAATGACAGGAATAACATTAATTTTGTATTTAATTTTGTCTGAATGGCTGCTGTGAAAAAGGTCAATTGGACAAATTATAAATTTCACCTGATGATGACCTGATGAAAAGTCAGAGGATCCCTTAAGTGATTGCAATCGACCCTTCCCACCCCTTTTTGCTCTGTGCTCCAATTACAGTTGAGCAAGCCACATTTTGAAGATGGTTAAAATGTAATAACGGCATATAGTTCATACAATACATTCATTACATTGAAGCCCTTGCTAAACAAGTTCACACAATGCTGATTAAGCTTCCCACCAACAGGTAAACCTCTTTATATTTCACAGATTTTTAAATCTGGTCTCTGCGGCAATATCCCCTAGAGGTGTCAGAGAAAAGTTTCCTCTGAGTGTGCTTTAAATAATGGATTACTGCAGTTTTTTGAAGACAAGTCTAGGACTTTCCAGGCCTATGAGCGTTATGTAATGTCATAAGTATGCGTTGACAGTGTTTGTGTAATCACACCTTACTGCCAGGAGTGTGAGACAAGGTTCCTTTGACAAAAAGCCAATGAGATTTTTCAGCTGGATTTTGAATTATTGCAGAAAAAAATTATACACCACCATCCTCTGGGTAGCATGAATATCCACATCAAATTTCATAGCAATCTTTGGCTCCACTGAAGTCAAACTCCTATACTATCTTTGCCTCCAGAGTAGCTCCGCCTTAAAGAAGTGTATGCAGAGCTGAAACTACAACATACGCAAACAAATAATACATAATGAAATTTCAGAATCAGAATCAGAAATACTTTAATAATCCCAGGGGGAAATTACTTAAAATGTACTCATATTTACACTAAATCTGTCAAATTTAATTCCAGTCAGTAACATACAGGAAATAACAAGATCAAAGTAGTGCAAAACTATAAAGATGGGCCTGTTAGAAACAGGCTAATACAAGGAGAAGGTATTTGGCTGAGAATATGAAGGCATCTGAAATAAATGTGTGCAGCAGACAAACCTTCCACAGAGGTTTCCTGTCAATCACTCAAACATAATCTCATATCTGGTCACATTAAACATCGGTTCTGTTCATGTTTGAGACCAAAACGGTCAATCAATAATCTCAATACATTTTAATCAGACTCTTTAAAAGTACCTCAACAATATTTCCTTCCAAAGGAACCATCTTCCGTTCTCTTATGTTAACCGTGTGGTAACATGAAAAGAGAATAAAGTGGAGAAATTAACTTTAAAACAATAAGTCAGTGGTTTGTGGATGACAGAATAAAGTAAGCCCTTTGATTAAATACGGACACATCCAAGTCCTCATAAACTGTTGAGTATGGAACTCAAGGCAATGATAATACTGTGGGGTCCTTCAAATACTGTAGCATTTGCCTCAAGCGCTTTTCCACTTAGTGGAAGGAGCATGGCACTGACATACAGAGTGGAGTTTCAGAACTATTTCTAGTAGATGGAGGTCGTCTTCGGTTGAGCCAAAGAGCCACTACATTTCAGAGTAAAAGTTAGCCGTCTGGAAAACATGAATATCAAAGCAGGAACTGTAAATGCACTGACTTCCTTTACACTCTATTACACTACTATATCATTCATGCACTTCTGTAGCCTTGGCCAGTAACCTAGCCCAATAATGATAAAAACGCACAATTCAAAGTTGGCCCCTGCACCCTGGGTCAAGCAGTGATGGTAGAACATGGAGTGAGGGAGCGCCATTGCCGAAATCAAAGAAATAAAACATTTGATTGCACATCCACACAATACTGCCAGACCTATCTCCACACAGGAATCTGCTTGCTATGTTTTTACCCAACCTCACCCTGTGTGCTGACCAAAGGTTGACACCCAAAACATCCTCCACACAGCAAAATCAGAAAATAATCTCTGCAGATACAGACACCGCCACGAACATCTAGTGGGTCACAAGTGATGACTGAGAGGGATTATGTTGTATGAGTCTATACATTGTTTTTACCTACCTACATAGTATGCCTTTAAACCACAATGGATGAATGGGAATATTTGAACAAATTTTTCCTTTATCGATTCAATGATAAAGGCTGGAAGTAGGAGGTCTTCTACCAAATCTGTCTTAATACAAGTTAAACGTGTTCATTTATATTTTAAAAGAATGCTGTAATCGCTCCTCCATACTGACTGTGAGGGGATCCTTTTATTAACTGCTCTGTAAGAAATAGTTGACAAAATCCATAGTCCTTGTATGATGCAAACTGGAAATACAAAGTGAGAATTTCATACTACCGCTGAGCCAACAAAACAGTGCTACACCAATCTTAGCTACAATGCTAATATTGCTTGCAGTAGATTGCCATGTTTCAGAGACTCAAACAGTTTCTGTAACAAACCTGGTAGTTGCATCTGTGTGCCAATGTTTTGCCTGGTCTCAATATGAGACCAATGTTTGATTGTACAGTTCTGGAAATTCAGAAACACAAATTTACTGTCAAGATCGATCGGCTGTGCGCACAAACGTCAGCGCAGATCATGCGAAAGCCCAACAGATTTGAACTTAGTGCGGACATCCATGCAGAGCTCCATAAATGAAGGCAGCACAAAAGTTGTTTCTGCACCAGTGCGAATATGCCTTAATGGTGGAGTGAACTTGGAGGCTGAGCTTAGTAGAAACTGTGGATTACGTTCAGCAGCTTGAATTAATTTTATTTTTTTAGTTCATTTCTACCCAATGGCTATGGCATTAATGTATGAATTTGGTTAAATGATCAAATGACTCTGTTGAGGAACATTGAGGTTAGTGTTAATACGAAATGCTCAAAAGCTGATTTCGACTGGGGTCACTTGTGACTTCATCCACGCTCAACTATCTAGAAATAGTCATTCTTTGGCTACACTTCTTATTGACTTCATGAGTTCTGCCTGTCAAATCAACAGCACTGTGCATTCATGAAGCGTGAGGTGAGGTTGCTTTGGATAAAGGCATCCATCAAATGACGTGTCAATTATTTCCAGCTAACCGTAGCTGGGTCCAAACATGGCAGGAAGAGGCAGTGGGACCAAGGTTCAGCAGGTATCAGTGCTGCTGGATGAAAACATAGTGGCTTTCAGTTTTTGTGGCGGTGTTTGAGTTTTGGACACCAGTCAGTATCTGCATACAGAAGGCAGTGGACAGTCTTAAACCTGCAGGGAGGGAAGAGAAGAGAGTCAATTATTAACCAAATGTCAAGTGCTCAGCACTTCCCAGAGAACATTAGGTAAATCAAGTTAAGTGACTTAGGTAAAGGGATTAAAAAATGTGTAGAATTGACAATTCAACACATCCTTTAAAAACCTCTCATCTAGATTGTTTTTTCTTGGTTTGATCTGGGCCTTTTAGATTCAATGAAGGGATAATGTTCCAGCATCATACAGCACAGATTTACCAGTTAGCTGTGGCAAAACATAACTTCCATCTAACACTTTTGTAATGAACTGGAAGGCTGGCTGTGAGCCACACCTTATCAGTTGCTGACCCTCACCAATGTTCTTGTGGCTGAAATGAAGAAAATTCCTGCAACCAGGTTCCAAAATGTTGTGGAAAGTCTTCCCAGAAGAGTGGAGGCTGTTATAGTAGCATGTTAATTCCCATGGTTTTTTAATCACATATTTATGGATGCATATTGTATTCACTTGAAAAACCTTGGTCGGTGTGGTCCATGCCTACAGCTGAGTGCACCAGCAAAGTACCAGGAGTTAAAGGCTAGGGGAAACAGAGCCCTGCATTGGTCAGCTGGAGCTTGCTGGAGGCTGCCTAAGGCCTCAGTGTTAGGGGTTTTGGGTCAGGATTAGGGGGCTGAGAGCACTATGGGACCACTGGAATATGCAGGAAGATGGATACAGGATTTGGGTTAGGCTCAGGGAGGCTGAGAGCCTTAATTCAGAAAACAGGGCAGAATTGTTTTTTTTTTTTATCATGAAAAATGATCTCAGAATTATGAGATAATGAGTCATTAATTCAGAAAACAGAGCAGATTTTCTTACAAGTGAATGCAATACATTTCCATGCATATTTAACTCTCGTGTATGACAGGGACATACTGGCCATGTTGTATACATTGCACTACACTACAGTGCTAAATCTCTACATTATATAATTTTCCCAACGTAATTAAACAGACTGTAAAAGTACCATAAATAGCTCTACACTATGAGAACATTGAGCAAAATTCTCCAACAAGCTGAGAAACTCAATGATTTAGAAGCTTTTTTTTTAATATATAAATAAAATATAGTTTAAGCCTAGCTTGTCTCACAGATACAGTGTATGATAATAAATGCAGAACAGAACTATGGTCGAGTGCAGTGTATGGGGGAGCAAAAGAGCAATATTGCAGTGTTTTGGTATCAATATGCTTACCTTGTGGGGTCTTCAGCCAGTGAAAAGCCCCCAACAATGCTAACCACATTTCTTCTGTTCTCAAAGCCTCCATAGCTAAGAGTCACCTGTTGCAAAACAAACAAATATACACAGTTCAACTTTTTTTAATTAATGGAACGGCTTCTGCTGCACAAATCTATGTCACATCTGAAAATTATAGGGTTCACTACCACACTTGCTCAAGGTCTGAAATGTCATTTCATACTGGCAACAACACACAACACACACACACACACTCACCTGCTCCAGCACAGTGTCGGTGGGCAGCTTCTGTAGGTTCTCCAGGTGAGAGTGGAAGAGGTGTGTGTGTGTTAGGGTCACCTCCAGCAGTGCTTCAATGATGTAGCCGATGGTGCAGTCGTCTGGTAGTCGGATCTTCTCCGCTGTGCTGATGAAGTTCCCCAAACTGAAAGCAGAGGGCAGAGTTTCAGCCTACAAAGCCTGTCTGCAACTTATTTCAGTTTCCCTTTCAAAATTGCATACTTCTTACAAGATTTTCTCTGACTATATTTGACATGGCAATGTTAACTGGACCTGCGCTTTTACACTACATGCCACATTCACCCTTTCACACACATTCACTCAGCGATGGCAAAGACCATCGAACAGAAACTAACTCATTCATACACATTCACACACCGATGCACAGCATCTGGAGCAATTTGGGATTCAGTATCTTGCTCAAGGATACTTTCACACGTGGCAGGAGGAACCGAACCAACAACCTTCAGATTAGTGGATTAGTGAACTGTTAACATGTATGTTACATTTTGACTATGTATGCCTGTCTGTGCAGCCTTGTTTATTCACTGTGTCCATGGAAACAATGATGAACACAACCCCCTGCTCTCTCATGCAGTGATAAACATTTTCCAAACACCATGACAAAAACTCTGCTTGTATGATTGATAACAACAACACACCTAACTCACAATAAGACCTGAAGGCAGGGTGCTGGATCCTTAATGTTTTTAATAATATTAATAAAGAAAGACTAGGATAGCACTCCAATTACAATTTTTAACTTCGCCACACGGATGTTAGGGTAATTTCCCTGGGTTTGTTTTGTGTTAACATTTAAGAATACATAGTGAATTAAACAATGGGGGCGAGGAAAGAACCCATTTCCATTTTAGTTCACTATGCATCTAAGCCATATTATATGCTATGCAGAACCTCATTTTCTACCACTACATGCAACAAAATGAGTACCCTGGCTCACTTCAAAGATTAGTTGAGTACCTAATCCTTGATGTCCTACCTGGCCCATGGGCTCATTTTTAGTGCCAGACCTCTGCTGATACAGAAACCTGCTCCACCTGTGGCAAACCAGAACTTGACAGACACCTGAAATGAGAAAGGATCAGCCAGCTGTTAGGGGTGTAATACTAACATAACCCAGTTAACATTCTGAAGCCTGGATTTAGCTTTATTGCTCACTCCTATATTTGTCAGTTAGCGGAGCCAGAAACTACTAATAAAGGTGTAAGCTGACTTACCGATCCGTCACTCTTGACCCTCTCTGCAGCCTCTATAGGATGATCCAGACTGGGCCGGCCCAGGTACACATCCTGGCTGTGGTGGTAGGAGGAGAGCAGATGCAGCAGGCTAGGCAGGATCACATAGTTATCATCATCCACATGACAGAACCACCTGTAAAACAAACACACAGACACACACAGAGTCAGCGTTGTATCTTCATTTGTAAGTGAATGTGCGTTGTGATGGTAGCCTTGCAATCAACTGCTTGAAATGTAATCAAAAACTCTAACAGTTAACACTTAATTAACAGTCTGCTCAGGTCAGATCACCTTGCACTTACTTTTTCTGAGACTCAATGAATTTGTCGTACTCTACAGACATCTTGCAGCATAGAGCCTGGCGGGTGTGAGCTGCTGAGCAGTTAGTGTTGATGATGTTAGCTCCTGGGAAAAGACAGCAGACGACAGCACTGTATACAGTATCATACTGTTCCTACAGTCATCATGTATCCCTAGTTGGTAGCAGATGGTTCGCCTACAGTACAAAAGCACTGGAGATACTGTACACCATTCGATCTGCTTTGTTTGAAAAATCTGCACTTGTATTTATGTACATGACTACATATTCCTGTGACACATACACTGCAGTACAAACACTGAACATTTGAACTACGTACAATTATTAAGAGGATGTAAATTTGCACATCTGCATTGATCTACGTCTGTGTAGCTAGACACAATTAAAGAATGTCTCAATTTGGACCAAATAGTTTTGCATAATTACTCAAATGTAATTGGCCCCTTTTACCCCAAATGTTATACTCTGTGTAAAACATTATTTTTTTGTGCTTTACATCTTTATGCCCTATCTTCATTCTGTTCTTTGTTGTTGAAACAAAGGGTTATTAATGTTTCTGATCTTTGGCCACACAAAATGAGTCAGGAAACTGTCCCACTTCATACCTGTTCTCAGCCGCAGCTCCTTGTCCTCCCCGTCAGTGAATATGTAGGTCTGAAACAAAAGGCACACTGTTAGTGCAAGCGCGCACACACACACATTCTTGCACTCCTACTGGGACACAATGAAGAGCTCCATTGTTTTTTCTTGTTGTTGAGGATGTGTGTGAAGTCGTGAGAGGAAAAGCAAAGACAGAACAAAAAATGACACACACACACACAC